TGTATAAATCTCAATTTCCAAAAATTGACCCTTATGCGACCCTTTATGGTCCATATGATACATGTTATAAAATGAATCCAATACACAGATGTTTTGCTTTGAATAAACAAAAAAAATAAGGTTTGAAAATAACACACTGTTGTCCGCTTTCAGGATCTGGTGAAGAGTCACTTGATGTATGCTGTCCGTGAAGAGGTGGAGGTGTTGAAAGAACAGATTAAGGAACTGATTGAGAGAAACTCTCAGCTGGAGCAGGAAAACAACCTGCTGAAGAACCTGGCCAGTCCGGAGCAGCTCGCACAGTTCCAGGCGCAAGTCCAGAGCGGCTCGCCACCGCTGTCGTCCACGCAGGGAGCGCAGCCGCCTGCCCCGCCGGCCCAACTCGCAGCACAGAACTCAGGCCCGTCGGCGTAACACCCAGCAAAAGTTCCTGTTAAGGGCGATGAGTGGCTCGAGACGCAAAGGAACAAACATGCCTCACTCACATGTTAGACTGACCAAATTTGCACACCTTTCAAAACTTGACAAATGTCGTACCGAGGTGATTTATACACCAGTGACAATCCAGTTGGCTGAGGCGGGACGTTGCCAAAATCCACGGAATGTGATCGTCAGGAAAACAATCCTGGAGGACGCGATATAAAGAATCACTGTGCCTGTGTCTGAAGTCCCGATGGTTTTCAGTCAAGTGTCTCCCTTACCTTTGTAGTGTACATGCTGACGGCGGTCTTTTAGACTGTGAGCTTCTAATAAAGCAAGCACTTTTATGGTGACGAATGTGATGAGACTTTGAAGAGCTGCCGATCTGTGCCCCAGCTGGCATGGGGAAGGCAGACGCATTGACTTCCACAGTTGCATTGGTGTAATCATGATACTTTGTTTTTTGAATGAAGAAAACGAGGAGGTATGATGCTTCGAATCCTCATTCGTTCTCTGTGCGGTGAGAATGACGGATGAGCTGAATTGCGAGGTGGACAGGCTGTATATTATTGTATGATTAGTGTAAGTATTTTGTAAAATGGCGATATCATGTGAAGCGGTTAAAGAGACACTATATAGGTTGTACAGATTTAAGGTAGTTGGCTTACCCAAGAGACATCATCCTTTTTTTTTTAATGCTGTTAAGCGGGATCGGTCTTTCAATATTTATCTGACAGATGGAAACTACTCATCTAACACCTACTGTACACTACTTCGTTCCCTTGAGATGATTTTGAAGTATTACACCCATGTGATTTCTGTTTTCAGTTTGGACAGTGAAGTATTCTCGATCAATCTTTTAACTTCCAGTTACTCTTGACTATCATATAGCTGACATGGATTTGCATTGTGTACAACTTGTATGCTTATGTTATCTGTGCATGTTCTCAAAACCAGGAGGTAAGTTGTAAAATGCTGTGATTGCACTTGCCAGTTGCACTTCACAACTCTCAATAAAGTCATGTTTGTGAACACGGTTGAGAAAAGTCCTTGAGATGCTTTCGCTTATGTGGTGGACCGGGATGCTGGAGAAACTGTAGAAATGCTAGTCAGAATAGGGTTTATACAGATGGGTGAGCATTTATATCATATTCTCATATTGTGGTTGCTGTTTTTTTTCTAGTTTAGATCTGTAGCAACCTGAAAAATCGGTTTACTCAAAAAGAAAATAAAAAAATTAAAAAACACGAATCAACAGATCTTTTACATGTTGGCATACATCTGAGTGTAACTGATTATCATGAAGTAAGTATTAAGTACATGTACATTAAAGTGATATGAAGATATTAAAACTCGAATGTACTGTATGCATGAATCATTCACTCTTTGATCATAAAATGGGGATAATTTTCAGTTCACGCCCATTTAGACAGCATTACTATGAAAAGTTAAACAAATTGGATTTTGTTGGTCTTCATAGTACTGTTCATAATTTAATCTTAAACTGTACAATGCATAATGGCTATATATGGATTGGAATCTAATTATGATTTAAAAAATCTAAATATTGATCGAACTGCTTTCTTTACTCCATCCATGTTTTCTTATAGACTACAAAGCTAGAAAACTCTGATGTTCAAAGAACAAGGATCAAGACGCATCAAAGGTTGCAGATTAAAATCCATAAAATCCAAGACCCATAAATTTCATAAAGATCTCTGATTGTTGTTATCGGCTCCAGAAGGATTGTCTGTACAGTTAAGTGGTCTGTCTGCTAATTTTACACAACAAATTAAAATTTTTACATCTACTGTAACATTCATCAAAGTTCACATAAAAAAAAAAAGAAAAACTTAATTGGTTTTGAAAAAGCAAAACATATGTTATGAGTCATTATCCAAATGTGTTTGACGTTTATTTGAAAAAGGCTCACGCAAACACGGCTGAATAGAGAAATAGATCATGGCAATCATCAATCACAAATAAATATGACAAGAATGATAAGATGTGTCAACAGCAACAATGGTTTTGTAGAAAAGCATGTGCTCCTTTCCTCCAGGGACACTGTAAACGTGTGACAATGTCGTGTAGTATTGTACACTAGATCCAGCTCAGCATACAAGCCTCTGACCCACAAACAGGATTTCACCTATCAGTCTTTCTTCAGATTGTATCCAGTCACCCACAAATCTCATTCAGATGTAGGACGGAATGTGAGGAACGCTGGGACTCACATTCCCATTCGGATACTTTGAATTATCTGAAAGATGGCTGAAAACAAACAAACAAAATAAACGTTTTCAGTTTATTAATACAAAAAACAGGGGAAGCGTAATAGCAATCAGCAAACTATATTATATAAAATGCAAATTTAAGATTACCTGATCCACAAACAACAAATACAAAGAGTGCCAAAAGCCATGGCCCCACCGGATATTTCTCCTCCTGTGGTCGCTGGAACAGTGAAAGACAAAGTGTTTCATAAACAAAATATAGTCTGGAATACCTACAGATAAATCTGTTTACACATGACACAAATGTCTACATAGTGTCACAGTAACAGAAAGAAAACAAACACCTGAAGACTTTTTCCTGTGTTGTGTTTGTCTATACACAAAATACTATATTTACATTTTTTATTAATTAATATTAATATATGCTATATTATCTGACTATATATATATATATATGTGTGTGTGTGTGTGTGTGTGTGTGTGCGTGTACACATTTGATGAAGTTTCGGTAGTGACATTGTTTTGTTTTTGTTTTTTTAGTTGTTATTGCATAAAATTGTCACTACCTAAACATGTTACATTGTTTCGGTAGTGACAACACATAATTCTTTATTTGGGGGAAATACACCAAATTTGAATACAGTTATGCAAATTTTTAGTATTTTAGTATATTTTAGTAGTGTTTTAAAATTCTGTAATTTGATGTGGTCGCTACCGAAACATGGGATGTTCTGTCAAAAATAAAGTATACTGAATTATCAACTAAGATGTGATGGTAGTGTTTGGTTGAATGCATATTCAGACTAATGAATCCTTAACGTTGAAAACAGTATGATCAACTTTATGCCTTTTACAAAGAACGGCTGGATCTCATAAATCTCATAAATCACACTTGAAATATTGATACAATTGTTTTTGATTTACCGCTAAAAACTTTGTAATAAAATAGCAAAACATATATTTACAAGGTAGATGTAAACAAACTCTTAATAGGTCAGTAGGCTATTGCTCTTCTTATTAAATGATATACTATTGCGTTTCGGTCGTGACGAATTTGGGGAGAGGAAAAATATTCCAAAACTTTCTGAAAATACAATATAATAATTGAATAATTTATGCATTTAGCAGATGCTTTTATCCAAAGCGACTTACAGTGCATTCAGGCTATACATTTTTTACCAGTATGTGATATCAATATGAGAATTAACTGCACAATTATGTATTATACAATTTGCATACATACAAAATTTGAGGAAAAGACACATTTTGTTTCCAACTCTGTAGAATGGCCCATATTTATTCTGGACCTTACACCTTATTATTAACATTCTTCATCATGGGATCTTCATCATGCATTGACCCTTGAACAAAAACACAGCAAATGATTTCATTGCCGCCTGTGGCAGCTGCTGTGACCCAGTTAAACTGCACCTTTACCAGGGAGGGTCAGCAGTGGTCAGATTAGTTAAGTACATCTGTCAGCAGCTCGTAACTGTGGCCATGGCAACTACATAGGCGTCAACGTTAACTAAATCTGCTTTACATCATTCTCATTGTGACTATGTAAAACAATAGCGCGTTTACGTCGCTTGCGAATTAAGCCTAATTTAAGATGATCCCCGATACCGAAAAGAATTAGGTGAAGAATTAAGACTTACACTCGCCCCGTATGATGTTTGAATAAATCAGCATCGTTAAAAACCGACGACGGCCTCGAAGTGTGTCTCAAGATAACCCCAAATCTTTGCACGTAAAAACGAAATCCACATAGAAAACAAACGATCTCCATTCATTTACATGCATACAGACGACACATGACAGCCTTACCAGGGTCTTCGCCACGTTCCCCCTCTGAGTGATGTTTTTGCTGTGCTTCTCGTTTGCCATACGGATTCTTTGTTTTGCTACCATCTTCCGAGCCAGCGTATAGGTATAAAATAAACGCTACTGTAAATCAAATAGGCCTATATTTCCTTATGTGAGGTGACGCTTCAGTCCCCTTCCCTGCACCTGCTCCCCTAAACCGAATTATGCGGGACGGAAGTGCGCCTCCATGTAGCCTGTCTAGAGGGACGCGCTCCCTATTTAACTCTGCTCCATCTCCCAGCTCCATTAAACTACCCTCATTTTTATTTCTTGCTAATATTTTTGTATTTACAAATTAAGTAAAAACTTGATATATAGCCTATTAAACCCCAAGGTTGATATGACATAAATAACAACAATAATAATAATTAAATAATATAATAAGGAATATGAAATAAAACAAACATGCTATTCCCTGTTGGGAAATCCGGCTGAAACTGGTAGTTGTTTTGGAACATGCAAGTTCCATCTACCTGTTTATTAGCTGATCCAAACCATTAACTAGTCCATAAATGTATACAAATTGGTTATCCAAGATGGTCACTAGTTGGCTGAAGCTGGTCATAGCTGTTCAAGGATGGTCATTACTAATTATTAGTTGGTCCAAGACAGTCAGTAAGCTGGACCAAGCTGGTCATAGCTGTTCCAGAATGGTCATTATAGTTTGTCCAAGATGGTCACTAGCTGAACCAAGCTGACTATGGCTTTTCCAGAATGGTCACTAGCTGGTCTAAACTGGTTATAGCTGGCCCAAGATGGCCATCGCTGTTTCAGGATGGTCAGTAGTTGGTCCAAGCTGAGCATAGCTGTTCCAGAAAGGCAATTAGCTAGTCCAAGCTGGTCCAAGATGGTTACTAGCTGGACCAGGCTGGTTATAGCAGTTCCAGAATGGTCATTATCTGGTCCAAGATGGTCACTGGCCAAGCTGACCATGGGATTTCCAGAATGGCCATTAGCTAGTCCAAGCTGGTCCAAGATGGTTACTAGCTGGACCAGGCTGGTTATAGCAGTTCCAGAATGGTCATTATCTGGTCCAAGATGGTCACTGGCCAAGCTGACCATGGGATTTCCAGAATGGCCATTAGCTAGTCCAAGCTGGTCCAAGATGGTCGCTAGCTGTACCAAACTGACCATGGCTTTGAATGGTCACTAGCTGGTCTAAACTGGTTATTAGCTGGTCCAAGATAGTCACTAGCTGGGCCAAGCTGGCCATAGCTCTTCCAGAATGGATATTAGTTGGTCCAAGGTAGTTATAGCTGTTCCAGGATGGCCATAGCTGGTCTAAGATGGTTATTAGCTTGTCCAAGACGATCTTGGCTGTTCCAGGATGGTCATAGCCAGTGTTGAGAAGGTTACTTTGAAAATGTAATAGATTACAGATTACAAATTACCTTATTTAAAATATAATAAGTAGTGTAGCTATTTAAACTACTTGTTACAATGTAACTGATTGCATTTTGATTACTTTTTGATTACTTTCCTACATTTGTAACGAATGTTTTTAACTGTTAATCATTCTGAAACATTTAAACCAGTCAGGGTTAACCTTACAGTAGTACTCAACACTGATTACTGTCAGACCTTCAAAATTCTTCATCACTTGAATTAAAGATTATAATAACTTAATTTTAAAGCAAAGCCATCACAAAATCAGACTTTAACATCTCTTTTTACGTTGAGATTGTTCTGAAGTTAAATACGGATTTAAAATCATAAGATATAGTTTAATAGTTACACTAAAAAATGCTGGGTTAAAAAGGGACAAACCCAGCTATTGGGTTGTTTTGACCCAGCGGTTGGGA